TACACAGACAGACAGACACACAGACAGACAGAGTTTTTTCCGACCAAACGGAGTAATAGGCTTCGCTAATCGCTCAGCCAACAATTTACAAGAATGATCACTAGCTATGCTATATGTTCGCCAGACCACGTCTCACGTAACAGGCTTCGCGATATCTCACGAAACACTGTTACGCTGCGACGCGCCTGGCGCACATATAGCTAGGCCTGCGGCGCTGACACCCGAGCCAGGAAAATAGGAGTGAAAATACAATTTTTCGAAATGAAGACTTCTTAACGATTTAATCGACCATGTGATCCTTTTTACCTCACGTTTGTAAAAAAAATGCCCCCTATGACCTAAACGGTACGAGATAGAGCCAAACGGACGGAATTTTCGCCCAAAGGGCTCTACTTTGGTGGTTTACCCGTTAGGAAACCATAAAAAAATATTTGGTAAAAATACATTTTGCGACCTGTACTTTTTGATTTTTGAAAAAGCCAATTTTTGAGCTAGAATGCTCATCTTGGAACTCGATCTGTCTTTTTATGACACAAAACGACCCCGAAAATTTCGATCGCTAGCTCTATTCGTTCTCGAGTTATCGTGCGGACAGTCAGACAAACACACAAACACACAAACACACAAACAGAATGAAACTTTTCCGGTCAGTGGAGTAATGGGCTTCGCTAATCGCTCAGCCAAAAAAATAGGTGGTAGTATTTGTATCACCCAATTGTAAAGCACTTTTGGGTGTCATGTCCAGACTTCAGATGTTCCAGCTAACTACATCTTTTTCATGAAGACCTGTAGTGTCCATATACGTGCATATTGTTACTGAAATCAATGTTTATATGCGCTGTTAAGAGCTTATAAGTTCAGCCAAAATTTCGTAGTTTGCAGATTGGTTATTTCTCTCATAGTGTTTTGAGATCCGTTATTCTTGTTCGGGGGCGACGATTGTTACAGATTTTGCTGATAATTAGGCAAGTAATTGAGGCATTTGGTTCTGTTTGCGGTGATGTATGCCACTTCACACTTCTGGCATACGTGTTAGTCATCTTTGCATCATGCTCCCTACTCCTCCGAGAAGTTGGTAGAGTTGCCCAGCAAACCGGAAAGGTAAGAACAGCACACATCATCCTCTTAAGCAGCATTTTGTTGCGAGGGCAGGATATGACTTATCTTCCGGATAGATCACATTCACAGATATTGTGTCAGTGTGCGTCTAGACCGAACCGACCTATCTGGCCAAGAATTCGAAAGGACCTATATAGAAGCAGCTCAGAAGTTCAACAAATAGCAGGCTCGACATAACGCAGCCGTTACAGCAGGGGCAGGGTTGTTAGTGCCAGTACAAGCTCGTTAGAGCGCTAACGCCAGAAAATTAAAACAAGTGCCAGTTGCACCATCAAATTCTCTAACACGATTTAGTTAATGCGGTGAGGGCTCTGAGGTCATTGAGAGGTGCACGGAATGACGGCACATTCGTAGTTCCAAAAAAGCTGCCCTGGGCGCTGGCTGGAGGCCTACACCGTATTTAGTACGTGGGTGATTCCACGGTAGAGTGCAAAATTGGCCTTTGAAACCAACTCGGTGAAAGTATTGTTTTAAAAGTTTTAAAAATACATATTGCTCGAGTGGTTGGGTTGCGCGGCGGTGGAAGCTCCAAAAATATTTCCTAAAATATCACTTTTTGGTCATAGGCCAACTGACTAGACGTGGTGCAGAACAGGAAGCAATAGAAACTATCGGTAACGATGTTTAACTGTATATGTATTGCTACTTTGGTTTGTAACCTGGTCAGGGTTTCTCGGTTTTGAGGTTGGAGAACGGCACTCTCGTACACACATTATACGACGCATAGGCAATATTTTAACAAGGTAGATGTACGCCAGACCACGTCTCGCGTAACAGGCTTCGCGATACCTCACGAAACACTGTTGCGCTGCGACGCGCCTGGCATACATTTACCTTGGCCTGCGGCGCTGACACCTGAGTCAGGTAGTGCAAAAATGTGCACAAAGATACGGGCCTCCGGCCCGTCAACGCCCGTCACTTCGACTATTCATGCAGGGTTGTACATTTTTTCGCTTATTTTCGTCAAAAACACTCTCTAGCGCCTCAACGGTTTGAGCTAGAGCAAAACGGACAAAATTTGTGTCCGTAGGACTCTACTTTGATGAGTTACCCCTTAGAAAACCATAAAAAATATTTTTACAATACGTCATTTTTGGGACCTGTTGTTTTTGATTCTTAAAAATCCAATTTTTGAGCTAGGATGCTCATCTTCGAACTCGATCTGTCTTTTTATGACACAAAACGACCCTGAAAATCCCAGGTCGCTCGTTCAATTCGTTTTCGAGTTTTCGTGCGGACAGATACACAGACAGACACACAGACACACAGACAGACAGACAGACAGAAAAAGTTTTTTCCGACCAGACGGAGTAATAGGCTTCGCTAATCGCTCAGCCAATTAGTAAATAGAGAGAGAATGTACAAACAAGCAGGCCCGCCTTTCCGTCAAACGGAGTTGTCAGCTCCGCTTCGCCGCGCCAGCAACTCCGTTCGGCAGGGGCCGGGCCTGCTTGGCCTGCCGGCGGCGATGGTCAGGCCTGCGGCCCGACCGTTTCTGTCACGCGATTTGTTGAAGAACATATTCAAATAATGTAACGGGCCTTTGGCCCGCACAAGGTAAACAAAAAACTCGGATTCCGAGGCGGAAATCTCGATTTCCGAGGTTGTCCTAATTCCGAGCTACCGATCCCGAAATCGGGTAAACGTGTCTCTAAAACCGAGTCACCTTTTACCTGATTCCTAAAAACGATTCCCGGATTACGAGCTCCATACCTCAGAATCAGAGCAGAGTGGCTCTAAATCATACTTTGGATGCTCGAAATCGAGAGGATGCCTCAAAAGTCGATTTCCTGCCTCAAAAATTAAAATTTCTATTTTCTTCTGGCCTCCAATTCTGAGTTTTTTGTTTACCGTGCAAAGCCCGTTGTCCTTAAAATCTGCCCCGTAGACACGAGAAAGGGATGTAACGGTGAAGCACCGTGACTACAACCCACCCTTCTGCTTAGCAAACGTTTCTTGGGGTGGGAGGAAGGCATTTTCGCGATATCTCACGAAACACTGTTACGCTGCGATGCGCCTGGCATACATCTACCTAGGCCTGCGACGCTGACACCGGAGTTGGGCCAAAGGCACGATCGTAAATAGGCCTTATTCGGCACAAAAAGTCACAAATTTTGTGCTTTGGGGTTTTTCTTTGGCTAATTACCCCAAAGAAGACCATAAAATATCTGAAAAAAACTATTAAACTGTTTTGGGGAGATTTCCGTGTGAAGAACGCCCTCTGGAGCCCAAACGGTTAGAGACAGAGCAGAATGGACAAAATTTTGGTCCAAAGGGATCCTGTTGGACGAGTTCCTTCTAGGAAGAATCTTTTAAGGAAAGTTTTTTAATAGAAATGTTTTGGGTTCTTTGTTTTTGATTTTTTGACACGTCAATTTTTAAGCCAGAGGGCTCAAAATCGAAACAGTTCTTGCTTTTTATGATACAAAGTTACAATAAAAATTTGAGCCTTCCAGCTCAAACCGTTCTCGAGTTATCGTGCTTACAGACAGACAGACAGACCAACAAACAGACAGACGCGAAACTTTTTGATCATCACTGGAGTAATAGGCTTCGCTATCGCTCAGCCAACAAGGCCCTCCAGCGCCTAAACGTTTAGAGAAAGAGGCAAACGGACAAAATTTTCGCCCATGGGCCTCTACTTTGACGAGTTACCTCTTAGGAGATTATAAAAAAATATTTTTTTCTGACTTTTTTGACCTACCCCATTTTCTTTGTTACCCCCTTTTAGTCCTTCACGACTGGTTGCCAGGATTTTCCGTCGGCGTCTCGTTTTCCAGGAGTGAACCTTAAGATACCCTGAAAATTTGAAGTCTCTAGTACATCTCCTTCTAGTGGAACAGACAGACACACAGACACGCAGACACACAGACAGACGGACAGACACGAGGTCGTTTGCATAACGAAAGGGTCCTAAGAACGTTGTCCTACCTCGCAGTGACGCTTCAACATTGTTTGATCTCGCAGTAACGCTTTAACGCTGTTTGATCTCGCGGTGACGCTTCAACAAAGTCCGATCTCCTTTTGACGTCCTCTGCAGCGCCATCTTCTTCCAATTGCGAGTTGAATAATATTGGCAGTAGAGAAAAAGTAAAAACATCTATGCCGTCCTTGATTTTTTAAGAACACATTGCAATTTTTACTTTTTCTGTACTGCCAATAATCGGACTTTGTTGAAGCGTCACTGCGAGATCAAACATTGTTGAAGCGTCACTGCGAGATCGGACAACGTTCTTGGGACCCATCGATAAGCCCACTAGATAGCTTTTCTAAAGCAGAAGGGCGGGCTAAAAAGACAGATCAAGTTCGAAGTTGATCATTCTAGCTCAAAAATTAGATTTTAAAAAAATCAGAAACAACAGATCCCAAAAATGACGTTTTTAAATATTCTTTTTTATGGTTCCCTAAGGGGTAACTAAATAAAGTCAAGTCCCGTCGACGAAAATTTTGTCCGTTTTGCTCTAGCTCAAACCGTTCAGGCGCTAGAGGGTATTTTTGACAAAAATTTGGCAAAAATGTATAACCCTGCATGCTTAGTCGAGATGACGGGCCGTTGACGGGCTGTAGGCCCGTATCTTTGTGAACATCTTCCAACTACCCAGCTCGGGTGTCAGCGCCGCAGGCCAAGGTAGATGTATGCCAGGCGCGTCGCAGCGTATCAGCGTTTCTTGTGATATCGCGAAGCCTGTTACGCGAGACGTGGTCTGGCGTACATCTACCTTGTTAACGATTTATCACATTCAGATGAAGCCGTACATGGTCGAGCTAACAACAACTAGTGGAACTAACTATCGGTAAAGTCAGAATCCAAACCAAAAAATTTCAATATGTGGTCTACTAATCTTTCAATTACGTTCGCGTTGCATTTGATTGGCAGGTTAGTGATGTGGCAGCGATGCATGTACAGCTAGTTCTTGGCTGTTCCCGTCTGAATGCTGCATTCGGCGCCTATCTTCCGCACATCGCTGTGGTAAAAGATATTTTACTGTAAAAAATCTATATGAACGCATGCTAGATACTAAGGGGGCATCTTCTAGTGCTAGCCCTTCTCAGGGAGAGTAGAGGCTGGTGCAAATGAGAACTAGATAAAATTTCATTGGCTGAGCGATTAGCGAAGCCCATTACTCCACTGACTGAAAAAGTTTCATTCTGTTTGTTTGTTTGTTTGTTTGTTTGTCTGTCTGTCCGCACGATAACTCGAGAAAGAATAGGGTATTGGTCTAGAGCGCTGAGCGGAAGTAGCAGAACAAAACCGGAAGGTGGAAAGGCGCCCGGGCCGTCCACCTCTCCTCCACTGGGCAGAGTGGGGGAGCGCCCGAGGAGAATTAGAGGGCAGGTGGGGAAGAGTGCGGGCGCCTTTCCATCTCCGGTTTTTGTTCTTCTACTTCCGCTCAGCACTCTAGACCAATACCCTATTGAGTGAGTGATCTGAGAATTGTAGGGTCGCTTTGTATCATAACAAGCAGGCCCGCCCTTCTGCCAAACGCTCGCCGGCAACTCCGTTCGACGAGTTGAAAGACTGGACCAGTTGAATTACTGGACTAGTTGCAAGACTGGACCAGTTGCAAACTAGACCAGTTGGAGGATTGGGCCAGTTAAAAGTTTGGACCAGTTGCAAATCGCTCTTAACTAGACCAGTTGGAAGGGTGGACCGGTTGCAGAGTGGACCGGTTGCAGAGTGGACGAGTCACAGAGTGGGCCAGTGGAAAGACTGGACCAGTTGCAAAGTAGACCAGTTGAAGGACTAGACCAGTTGGAGGACTGGACCAGTTGAAAGACTGGACCAGTTGAACGTTTTTCGACTTGTGATACAGTAGACATTCCTAGATTGAAAACACCGCGTACAAAGAGTTGTCAGGTTTCTGGCTTCTGGCAACTTGGATCAGCATAATTTACAGCATAGTTTCGTTCTAGTAAAGTTTGATTCACAGTGTAAATACGAAATATTTACGATAAGAGGTAAGCTTTAAACGTGTTGTGAGGAGTCTATTTACGCACAGTTGCATCAGAAGAGCAAAAGCAAAACAAATAAATCCACTTTTTATAATCAGGACAGTTATTAATGATTTTAGCTGTTCTTTAGTGAAAGTGTTAAACTATGTGTTGAAGAGATAAAGTTTGTGCACACAGACTGAAAATCAATTTGTGTCCACATTTGTAGATGAGTGACAAGCATAAAACAGTATCTAGGTTGGGTTTAGTGGTTTTAGTACAATAGATGACACAGCAAATCGTAACCATTAACCCACTACAGCCAAACTGCAGTTATAAACTGTAGTCGGTAGTTGCATGCCCATTCACGGTGCTGCTTACAAATCTATTACAGATTGAATCCATTTAAAGAACACACATGGGTGCAATTGGCTTTGCAAATACCGGCTATTCTTAGTGTTCTGTTGTAATACGGTTTAAATGCAATATTGAAAGTACAGTTCGGTCACTGCAGTTGGAACTATGCTCTAACTTGTTTCTCTTACTGTCTAATGCAGCATTCTAAGTGAGATTTACATGCGACATGACAGTTATAAAGACAAAATGAATAACAGTGACAGAACCGTGCATCAGCGCAATGTGAATCTAATTTCTGAAAGTACCACTTCACAAAATTATGACGTGACAAACGTTTTGTGATTTCTTTTGTCATAAGTTTCTAATCGGCTCGACATATTTTCAAGCGGGCTTATGCGTTAGATAATTTTATACGCTTCACCTACTATAATTGTGAATATTAAGTCTATTAATTTTTACTGTATTTATTCATTTTACTAGGCCCCGTCTGTGATCCCTTTGCTGAGCACCGTTACGATAATCATGTCTGCCGAGAAGGCTGATATGTACGCTGCTGGATCCTTTCCTGCCGTCCTGTTCTATTTAGCGCCTTTGTGCGCGGTTGGGGACATGCTAGTGGCTGGCAGCGACAGCTTTTGTTTCAGTGCCTACTGTGTAAGTGACTTGTTAAGGGATGTTGATCTTTAACACTGAAAAATGAAGTGTTTAACTGACGTGCACATGTTCGTACTCAACACTATGTTTCAATGAAACACCATCCTCCAATGAATTTTCCCTTCTACTTAACTATAAATCTTGCGTTTTACGTCCCGAAAAGTAGCTGCCCATCTTCGAATAAATTTCCTCGAATGAATTTTCCCTTCTATTTAACTATTGCCAATTTCCCCATCCCCATTTACTAGGATATTATTGGCTGAGCGATTAGCGAAGCCTATTACTCCGTCTGGTCGGAAAAAACTTTTTCTGTCTGTCTGTCTGTGTGTCTGTCTGTGTGTCTGTGTGTCTGTGTATCTGTCCGCACGAAAACTCGAAAACGAATTGAGCGAGCGACCTGGGATTTTCAGGGTGGTTTTGTATCATAAAAAGACAGATCGAGTTCGAAGATGAGCATTCTAGCTCAAAAATTGGATTTTTAAATAATCAAAAACAACAGGTCCCAAAAATGACGTTTTTTAAACATATGCCAGGCGCGTCGCAGCGTAACAGTATTTCGTGAGGTATCGCGAAGCCTGTTACGCGAGATGTGGTCTGGCGTACATCTACCTTGTAGTTAGATAGAAGGAGAATTATTCGAGGAAAATAATTCGAAAACGGGCAGCTACTTTTCAGGACGTCAGACACAAGATTTATAAGTAAATAGAACTGAAAATTCATTGGAGGACGGGCAGCCACCAACTTCCCTTATAAAACGAAATCATTCCGAAACTCGTCCGGGACTGTTCCAAAAGCAGTCCGATCGTCTCGGACACTTCCAAATATGTTCCAGGACAGTTCGTCAGCAATCCGAGTCCGATACCGGACTGTCCGAAAGTAGACCTCAGCCCCCAGGACTGCCCGTAAAAAGTCCGATGCTACCAGACAGTCCCTTAAAAGTCCGGTAGTCCGGTCCGGACCGTCCGAAGACAGTCCGAATATCAACCCAGATCGTCACAGGACGGTCTCGAGCTGTTTAAACACAAAAGACTTCTAAATTTTTTGTGAAAATTGGCAAACTATATATTCATACAATGGGGCACAACAGATCCAACTTTGTCGTTAGGACGCATCCCAGGATTTTAAGCAAGTCTATTTCTAGCTCTGATTTCGTTTGAGTTACAGCACAACTGAGGAGAGGTGATGGAGAGTGTACTGTTGGGGGCAGTAATGGAGGGGGAGGGGGCACTTTCTCTAGTCCAGTTCTCTTTGAAACCGAGCGTACATACATACATGCGTATATACACGATGAAACATTTGGACTGACATACACTTTTCCATGTGTGGATGTGTGATCGGCAGGGTCCGTGGCTTGAGGAGGGCCCGGCGACCCGACGCTGTCGCTGGTTGCTGATGAGCGCCCCTACGATGAACCTATCAGTGCCGGGTATGGTGAGCGTCAACCGACCTACTTTCCGGAAGGCAGCGCGTACATGGTTCCAGTTTCTTCAGGTCCTGATTGAGCTAAAGGCGTAACGGCTGTAATCTCAAGACTTTGTTTTTTTTGTTTTGTTTTTTTCAATAAAAAAGTTGGTCTGTTTTAAGAGGCGGTGATGATTGTGATCCGCTTGTGGACCGTTCTACAAGGGGCGCATAAGCAGCAGGGACGAAAGTTAACAAGTAGTTCCACTGTTTTACCAATCAAATTTGCAGACTCACTTTACTCCACATTCAAAAGACGTTTCGACACAGCCGCAGCTCTAGCCAGCAAAGCTGACCTGCCGTAAGTGCGATACCTCAGAAAGCCGCTCAGTCTGGTTTGGACAACCGTTCATTCCGTGAAGGCGCTTCGACAACAGCTTAGTCAGCCAAACCCGCCTAAACAACCGCTCAAATGACTTTTTTGACGCTTTTAATGTTTTGACCGCTTCCGACTAAAAAGACCATGCTCGTTTTGATTGTGATATCAAAACATGATCGTCAAAAAAGTCATTTAAAGCGGGTCGGCTGACTGACCGGTTGGAGCGGCTCAGCGGAATGAGCGGTTGTACAAACTGCTCGACAGACTAAGCGGTTGTCGTAGCGCTTCGGTAGACTGGACGGTTTTCACTCTGAGGAATCGAGTTGGCCACAAAACAAAAGTTTGCCAGAAAAAAACTACGTCAAAATTTTTCGATAAAAGGTACTTAAAATTAACAACCAAAAACGCGTTTTATGACCATGTCACTATACTTCCTCCCTTGGTACATATTTACACATAGCGCATTATTTCCCCCGTTTGCTTCATATCCCTTACGGGCTGTGATACTTCCTCCTTAGGAAAATATTTCCTCCTAAGCTTCATATCCACCCATAGTGCACTATATTGCCTCCTAAGCCCTATTTCCCCTATGGCTTTACTTCGGAGCATTTTTTGGCTGAGCGATTAGCGAAGCCTATTACTCCAGTGATCAAAAAGTTTCGCGTCTGTCTGTGTGTGTGTCTGTCTGTCTGTCTGTCTGTCATCACGATAACTCGAGAACAAATTGAGCTAGTGACCTGGGATTTTCAGGGTCGTTTTGTATCATAACAAGCAGGCCCGCCCTTCCGCCAAACGCAGTTGCCGGCTCCACTTCGCTGCGCCGGCAACTCCGTTCGGCAGGGGCCGGGCCTGCTTGGCCTGCCGGCGGCGATGGTCGGGCCTGCGGCCCGACCATTTCAGTCCCGCGATTTACTGAAGTGCATCATCAAAAACATAATGTGACCGGTAAATCACTTTGCATATTTGGGTAAACTAACTTCCGGTGGGGGCCCTGCGGCCCTAGAGATTTGCTCCTTTCACATGACAAAAGACTGTAACGGGGCAACACCGTGACTACACCCCACCCTTCTGCTTTGCTTCAGAAAAATACAAAAAAAGAACCAGCGAAGTTTTTACATTGTATTGTTTGTCAAACATTCTTAAAACTTGACTTTTTGCCATTGTTTTCAATATATCCACCTCTAGGGCCGAAACAATGAAAGATACGGCAAATCCGAGGGCAGTTCCTGATTCAGAATGTGTTGTTTTGGGGGGGGTACTTCCTCTTCCATTTTACGATTGGAAGCCTCCTAGTACGTCTTTATGTGCAACGTAGTCATTTTCTCCGTATTTCGGTCGAAAAAAGCACTCTAGCGCCCAAACGGTGCAAGATAGAGTCGAACGGACAAAATTTTCGCCCGAAGGGCTCTAATTTTACGAGTTACCCCTTAGGAGACCATAAAAAAAATATTTTTTTCCTACTTTTTAGACCAACCCCTATTTCTTTGTTACCCCCTTTCACCCCCT